TTGTTGGGGCTGACTGAGAAATTTGGAGATGACTATGAAAGCTGAACAATCATTATTGTGCGGACCATGGTCTACAGAAGTTGTGTGGACCATTTTTGTATATATAGTGTAATATAATGTACATTCAATACAACAATAATGTACTTTTAGTATATTAAAAATGTACATTATTTGTGTACTGAGTGTACATTCAATAGACAAGTAATATATATTAAGTATATTAAAAATGTACTTTTTGTTATGGTCCACACAATAATTTGGCAAAGCTGAATTCAAAGATATTCCCATGCATACAAATAACAAACGGAAGAAAAGAAAACTCAACACCGGCCTTGAAATCCTTCTTCCAATTCAGAAATCTCATTTCTTGCTAAAAAAAATAAAAAATAAAATAAATAACTAATAAGAATAAAACTAAAGCCCATTCAAAACACATCCACTTGATCGCAAAAAATTGTCAGAGACAATGAAACCAGATTTCATAATTTCCTCAAAAGGAAGTAGATTTTATGCAATAAATGGAAACGGCATACATAAAATATAGAGAAAAATAAACTATGACTATAACAAAGTGATATGATGTAAAATAGATATGAAGTCAATAATATAAAAATATTTACTAATCAATTCATACAACTAATCAAAAAGTACAAAATCCTGCAGATTAGGACGTGGATATTGTGATTATTGTCCAACAAGGTAGTTAATTTGAGTGAATAAAACTAGAAACCTAGATTTTGCAACTAAATTAAATTAGAAATGGACCATCACGCAGGTCGTTATATCGCGTGACCGAGGGTGTGATACAAACACAAGCCATGGGTGTGCACTGGGCCAACTTAATTGCACATATAAAACCGTGTATGAGAGGTTCAACCAAAAGGGTATTAACAAGAACCAAACTTATAACATTTTAGGTATGTATGGAAATCACATACTCTACTCATTTAACAATAATTGCTTGTAAGTGTTTAGCCTCGTGGGGAAACTTTAAAAAGAAAGTGTACTATTTTGTAATTCAACAATTATTACTCACTACAGGTAATGTAATATTTTGGTATCTTAAAATAAATTTAAACCTCATGGGGAAACTTTAAAAGAAACTAACATACATCTCCTACTCAGTGTATAGTACTAGCTATATGTGTAGGTAGGTAAGGTAGCATTTTGGTGTCTTAAGAGGCATTTAAAATCTAAATATCAAAGCCAAGTTTCAATCTTGGGACCTGTAGGTTATGGGCTCACCAGCTTCCAGTGCACCACTCTAATTTGCTATATTTTAAATAATTGTTTTATATTAAAAATTTGTTTTTGGAAGTTTTTGTTTTGTTATGCTTTAATAGAAGGCCACCGTATGAGTTTTTTTTTTTTTTTTTTTTTATTTTTTTATCCTGTGATCTTTCTTCGAGGAGAGACACAGAGGTGTGATATACGCACAAGGTGCTTAGCATGATATATAACACACAATACCTATTCATCTTTAATAGTTTTTTTCAATTGTTTAAATATATACGACTAATAATAGTAACATGATTTTGACACTCTCGCCCGCATGGGTAGCTCAACTGGTCATAGAGGTGAAACTTTAGAAGAATGACCAAGGATTGAGTCTCACTAGCGGCAGTGTGGGAACAACCTTTCAAAGTGAGGGTGGCTCCTTGTGCGCAGTGAGCACCTCCCAAATGTTCTGTTGGGCCGGGGTGTGGGAGGCCCTTAGGGTTGTGGTTCAGCCTTTTGGAAGAATGATTTTGACACTCTCTTTCAAGGGCATTCTAACTTAATAGCCCGCGAAATTTAGGATGTGAATAAAATATTGGATAATGTCAATAGCAATTATAAGTTATATATATGACAACTTTGGTAATATAATATTACACTATTGCCACATCAAAAAATGAGTTAAAATAAAATAAAAGTAATGTGATTACTTATCACTACAAGAAAAGTAAATTTATTTACAAAAAAAATTGATGCATAAATTATTAAATTAAAATTCATAGATATTTAATTGATTAACAAAATTTTGAAAGTAAGACAATGAAATTCATAAGTATTTAAGGTTTAGCAATTTAATCTAGGAAAGAAGGGTCAAATTGGTCCCCAAAGTAAATTTATAATGACTACTAAGTAGTAACTTTGTGTTTGGAGAAGTTCTAGAGGTGAAAAGAAAAGAGAGGAAGCTGGCTAATCAAAATGTTTAAATGGGTTGTTGGGGCTGACTGAGAAATTTGGAAGTGACTATGAAACGCTGAATTCAAAGATATTCCCAAACAAACAGGAAGAAAAGAAAACTTAACACCGGCCTTGAAATCCTTCTTCCAATTCAAAAATCTCATTTCTTGCTAAAAGAAAATAATAAGAATAAAACTAAAGCGTATTCAAAACAAAATGGATGTTCTGATAAAAAATGACTAAAAGTGAATTGCCACTTATAAATCTAGGACCAAAAATTGAATTAACATATCTCAAGATATTCTTGTATGCAACAAGAATATTCAAAATTTAAAACAATACATATATAAAAATGTGTTGAGAAACAAATTTCTTCAATAAATATTGTTGTTATCTGTCGTAATGGTTAGAGAGAAAAATACATAATTGAATAAATTTGTTAGATTTTCAATAACGCATAAAAGAATCCTACTTCCTATTTAAGACTACATGTATGTATGACTTCCTAAGCCAACTTCCCCAAGTTGTTTGTAGCTGAACTAAAATTCAATTATAGAGCCAACTTCCCCAAGGAACTGAAATTCAATTATAGAAGATAGTAAGTTGTTTGTAGCTGAACTGAAATTCAATTTGGAGGAGTAAGGGGCATTCCGAGAATTGAACTCGGGACCTCTTGCACCCTAAGCAAGAATCATACCACTAGACCAAATGCCCAATTTCAATGGTGTCTAATTGGAAGTAATATAATACAAAGCGTTTTAAAGATAGACAGCTCTCATAGAGAGTCAAACTTAAACGCTTGCAATTACTAAACCAATTATCCAACTAACTCGGTTAGGGGTTGCATATCATTGCTGGAAATTTTAAAATTTCCGACCACCTGAAAGTAATTTTAAATCAAGTCGAAAGCAAAAAGTGGCCGGAAATAGCAACAAAGATTTTTCTGGATACCAAAAGTGATCGGAACAAGGCTTTTGACTTGATTTAAAATCACTTTTAAGTGATCGGAAATTTCATAATTGCCAGCAATGATTGCACCCCATGTATCCCCAACTTATCTTATATAACTTGTTTTGATTCAAGTTATATATATGACAACTTTGGTAATATAATAATATTATTTCCACATCAAAAAATGAGTTGAAATAAAATAAAAGTAATGTGATTACTTATCACTACAAGAAAAGTAAATTTATTTACGAAAAAAATTAATGGGTAAATTATTAAAATTCATAGATATTTAATTGATTAACAAATTTTTGAAAGTAAAACAACGAAATTTATAAGTATTTCAGGTGTAGCTATTTAATCTAGGAAAGAAGGGTCAAATTAGCTCCCAAAGCAAATTTATAATGACTACCACCTTTGTGTTAGGGGAAGTTTTAGAGGTGAAAAGAAAAGAGAGGAAGCTTGCTAATCCAAAACGCAAGGAGTGGTTTGTATCACTCCATCACAATGTTTAAATGGGTTGTTGGGGTTGATTGAGAAATTTGGAGATGACTATGAAAGCTGAATTCGAGGATATTTCCATGCATGCAAATAACAAATGGAAGAAAAGAAAACTTAACATAAAATCCTTCTTCCAATTCAGAAATCTCATTTCTTGCTAAAAGAAAATAATAAGAATAAAACTAAAGCACATTCAAAACACATCCACTTGATCACATACAAAATAAAGACAATGAAACCAGATTTCATAATTTCATCAAAAGGGAAGTAGATTTTATGCAATTAATGACAAACTATGACTATAACAAAGTGATCTGATGTAAAATAGATTTGAAGTACGTCAATAATATAAAAATATTTACTAATCAATTCATACAAATAGAAAGTACAAAATCCTGCAGAATAGTACATAGGAGATGCATGGATCCTAGCAAAATTTGATGGAATTAGTTTATTTCATTCTAAGATTGGGCATTGAACTTGTGGAACAAGAACCTTAGATTCTCAAAGTCCCAACACAAGGAAATAGTGTCACCAGGGTGTAAACTCCTCCTTTTTACAAACTCTGTATTCCAGTTGTTGGTAGGGGTGTAAACGAGCCGAGCCGAGCTCGAGCATGGGTATGCTCGAGCTCGAGCTCGGTAAATGAAGCTATGCTCGAGCTCGAGCTCGTGCTCGATCGAGCTCGTGACTGGATGCTCGAGCTCGAGCTCGGCAATTATCGAGCTGCTCGAGCTCGGCTCGAGCAGCTCGATTGTTCGAGCTCGAGCTCGAACTCGATCTTGAGCTCGAGTTCGAGCATGATTTTGAGCTCGAATTCGAGCTCGAGATCAGGCTCGAACTCGAGCTCGAGTTTGAGTTCAAATGCGTGCTCGATTTTAACCTTGAATTTGACGGTTTGACCTGTTTGATTTAAAATTTAAACTACTCTGTTTTATCCATACATAAATAATCCAAACTTCAAATCAAAACAATCAAAATAATTTTGCAACGAAGTAAAAGATAGTGAAGACACAAGTCAATAACATTGTTCAAACTTCAAAACATTCAAAATAAGTTTGCAAATCACAACAAAACACAAGTCAACAGTGTAGTAGTCCTTGATTCCTTGTACATATATATTTCGTCCCGGATATGTTCAAAACAGGAAATATCTGTTCAACTTGCAAAAAAAAAAATGAATAATATTAGATAATAAATGAAATTAATTAAAAATAGTTAAACAAAGATGTTACTTTGTAACTTACTTTCATGAGTTGGATGCCGGAAGAAATATTTCTTGGAATGATTTCTCTTTCTACAAAAAAAAATAAAATAAAAATAAGTATACAATTAAACAAATATTTTTTTAAAAAATAATGTATCTTTTAGCATAAAAGTTAACTTACTTTGTTTTTGGTAACTCCATGTATATGTCTTAGCCAATCACCCCCACAAAGTAAAGCTTGGGCTGTTTCAGGCAACAATGATGCACGATACGAATCAATTACCCTTGTCCCAGCACTAAATGTTGCTTCTGAAGCCACACTGCTAACAGGTATAGCTAAAATATCTGCTGCCATTCGAGACAATATTGGATACTGCAGTCTATGCATCTTCCACCAATCTAAAGAACAAAAGTTGCTTGGAACCTCAGTAGTCTTAAGACGCGCTTTTTCTAGATAGTCTACTAACTCAGAGTTTTTAGGCCCTGAAGTTTCAACTTGGGCACAAAATCCCTCAAATTCTTCCCAAGCATATGTAGACTTTTGGCGGCTGACTTGGCTTCTAAAAGTGTTAGAAGAACTTAGATTTTCAGGATTATCTTTGTTCATTGATTCAGCAACATACTCTTCATAAAGAGTATTGATGATCTCCTTCACTTTTGCTATATTCTCCTTAGCTTCCTTATCAGAATAAAGTCTAGGGAAACAGAATTCAACTGCAAGCATTTTCTTTGTTGGATCAAAAACAGCACCTATAGCCATCAACAAATTGCACTCACCCCAATATTTATCAAACTTTTTCTTCATTCTTTTAACCAAATCCTTAATAAAGTCATCTTCATCATCTACATGACTATCCAATGTTGATTTGATTTTTTGAACTTCTTGAAGAAACAAATTTGAAGTAGGATACTCAGAACCTGAAATAAATTTGAATTCAGATAATCACAATTCACAAGTCACAACCTTAACTAAATTAAAAAAAATATATATTAAAAGAAACAAACCTGAAATAATGTGAGTAGCTGTCCAGAAAGTCTCTAAAATTGAGCAAACTTTGACAACCTTGTCCCAATCATCTTCCAATGGACAACTCTCATAGAAAGGATCACGATCTTTTAGCATCTTGAAAGCTTCTTTGAACTTGAGTGCACAACTTAACATCTCAAAAGTTGAGTTCCATCTAGTTTTACAATCACGAATCAATTTCCTATCTTTCAATTGCAATTGTTGCACACAGTTAGCAAATTGTATACGCCTTGATTCCGACCGGTTCACATATTCCACACTATTTCTAACATCACTAATGATGTTCTGAATCTCATCTAATCCATCTTGAACACACAAGTTCAAGATGTGTGCACAACAACGAACATGAAACAAACGTCCCCCACATACCAAACTTCTTGACCTTTGGAGTGTATCCTTCATGTACCTAATAGCAGAATCGTTACTTGAAGCATTATCAACTGTAATTGTAAACACTTTCTTTTCAATTCCCCACTCTTTCATGCATCCAAATATAGCATCAGAAAGCTGAAGACCTCCCCTCGGTGGTGGAATGTTAATGAAGTTTAAAACTCTCTTTTGCAACCTCCAAGAAGAATCAATCCAGTGTCCAGTGACAACCATATACTCAATCTTCTGATTTTTTGACTTCCAACAATCTGTTGTCAAACTTACTTTACTAACACTTTCAAGATTGTTCTTCAACTTCTTCTTTTCAATCTCATAAACCTGCAAACAATCTGCTTTGCATGTATTTCTACTAATTTTTTTCCACTCCGGCCATCCTTCTTTCATTAATAGGTTAAATCCTGCTTCCTCCAAAATAGTAAACGAATGTTCATGCATCATGATCCAATTAGCAGCACACTCCCTCATTCTTTCCATATTAAAATTTCCACGATGTAATGGAGGAAGGGAGGATGGAACTCCATCACTAGGCATAAAATTTAACTTTGTTTGTTGATCGGTGACCTACAAAGTACAAAGTACAAAACCAATACCATAACTATTAATAATGAATAGAATAATTTAGCTATATAAAAATTTATTTTCAAATTTAAGTACTTACCTTCAAATGTGCCTTTCTCTTAACGCATTTGTCTTGATGCCTCTTGTAGCTAGTTGTTGTGCCCGATTTAGTTAATGCGAAATGATGATGACAATGATTACATTGTACCTTCTGCACTCCATCTATGTCGACCATATGAAAATCAATCCACACACCTGAAGTCTTTTTTCTCTTGTTTGTTTGAAATTCTTGCTCGTGTGTTTCTTCATTTTGTTGTGTGTCATGATCATCTGAATGTAATTCTACTCTTTCAACTCCTTCAGATTGTTCATGTGATTGATTAATAGTTTCATTGCTTTCACCAACCACACTATTTAGAGTGTGTGGATTTTGCGGGACAGATGAATTATCGGTAGACATGCTCACATGCCTAATGGAAAACAGTTACGACATCAAGTTATCATACCTCAATTCAACAACAACTAATCCAATATTCTAGTACCTTACTTTCATATATTTAACAAATTAAGAAACTAATATAATAACCATAATGAACTGGATTATATATTTAACAAATTAAGAAACTGGATTATAAAATTATATTGCTGCAAGTAAATGGATTATATCTTCAATAAGAAATAAATAATGAACTAATATATTCAAGGTTCCATGACAAACTAAACTAATATATTTAACAATAATGAACTAATATATTCAAGGTTCCATAACAAACTAAACTAATATATTTAACAAATTAAGAAACTGGAATACTGGATTATATCTTCAATAGTTAATCAATATAGTTAATCCCAAGAAACTAAACTGGAATATAGCTAAATTGAATCAATACCATAATGAACTAATATATTCAAAGTTTCAATAACGCAAACGTATGAAATATGAATACCTAGAATTATATCTTCTTTTTATATCAAGGTTCCAATAACGCAAACGTATGAATACCTAGAATTATAGCTTCCTCGCGACGGAAACCCTGGGGTGGACAGAGTCGACGATGTCCTGGAGCCAAAGTCTGGTCGTGAATCACCGGCGGCAACTGTCGAAGTTTCTCTACCGTGGACTCGTGGAGGCGTGGAGTCGTGGACGAATACTCGAATAGAAACTGCCAAAGTCTCTCTCGACAGTCGAAACTCGAAATATAAAATATCAAATTCTGAAGGCGCTAGAATTCTAGGGCTTTTGAGTTTTGAGCTTTGACTTTTAAATTTTAAATATTAATTATTATTTTTATATATTTTAATTATATTATACCATATATTATATGGCTCGCGAGCCGGCTCGACAAGCCACGAGCCTAGAGTATCTAGGCTCGGCTCGTGCTCGTTTATTTGACGAGCCGCTCGAGCTCGGCTCGAGCTCGATTTTGACCGAGCTCGAGCCGAGCGTTGACCGAGCCGCTCGTGAGCGGCTCGCGAGCGGCTCGGCTCATTTACACCCCTAGTTGTTGGTGAGAAGAAAGCTACCCGTCTTCCATTGCTTGAGGGTGAGTTGATGCTGTGACTCAGTGTCCAAATCCCATATTTTGACTCGCTCTCAACCCATTCCTGTTTTGACAAGCTTTACAGCTCTCCATATCCATGAGAGGCAATACGTATTTTGTAATTTCCTCTTTGGGTAGCAACAACCTTGATGAAAGGTTGACATCACTTGTACTTAGGCGCTTATGCATCCAGTTTTGATGATGATTATCCACCACCTTCTGTTTCTTGGCGATCACTCCCTCGTCCTCCTCCTCTACTGGTTTCTTGGGACCAATAGTTATCAATCTTTTGCTGTTAGATATATTAAATATAATATACTTAATATAATATATATTAAATATAATATAATATATCTATAATATATGTTAAATATAATATATCTATATATTATATTTATATATATTGAGAAGAGAGAGAGAGGAATAGATAATTTTATTGATGATTAGAAATGCTTGAATAACAAATCTATTTATACTAGATAAGATAATTCAAATGCTAAAATAAAGGATTTAATGCTCCATGTAAAGCTAACATCATGGCCATGTACTGCACCTATAATTACTCCCATTATTTTTAACCAATTAACTAACTACTTGGTTTAATATTACTAATAATAATAATAATAATAATAATAATATTATTATTATTATTATTATTATTATTATTATAACATTGCCTCCTTTAAACCAAGTTGAATATATTGGTCATCCCAATATCCTTCTTCAATTTAAGAAATGTCTCTGTCTTCAACGGCTTCGTAAAAATATCTGCAACTTGACATTCACTCGAACAATACTCAATGTTGATTTGTTTTTCAGCAACCAGTTCTCTGATTTTGTGATACTTGATATCAATGTGTTTACTGCGACCATGAAAGACAGGATTCTTGGACAACGAAATTGCTGACTTGTTGTCACAAAAAATAGTTGTTGGTGCTTCCTGCTTGTGTTGTAAGAACTCCAAAATTCTCCTCAACCAAACTGCTTGAGTAGCACAGTTTGCTGCTGCAATATATTCTGCTTCTGCGGTTGAAAGTGCTACAATCTGCTGCTTCTTTGAAGACCAAGAAAATATGGCTGAACCAAGATAGAAGGCATATCCTGATGTGCTTTTTCTGGTCTCAATATCTCCAGCCCAATCACTGTCTGTGTACCCAACAAGTTCCACAGCTTCATTAGTAGAGTAAAAAATTCCATCATTACTCGTACCTTTGACATATCTCAGAATTTGCTTTGCTGCAGCCCAATGTGATTCTTTTGGCTCCTCCATGAATCTGCTAAGTATCCCAACTCCAAAAGAAATATCTGGCCTTGTTGCCACCAGATACCTCAGACTTCCAATTAAGCTTTTATAAGACGTAACATTCACATTCTTACCACACTCATCTTTGGACACCTTTAACTTTTCAGCTACCGGAGTTGAAGCTGGTTTGGAGTTTTCCATTTTGAACTTTTTCAAAATATCAACAGCATACTTCTTTTGTGAAATAAAGATTCCACCATCCATCTGAACAACCTCAAGGCCAAGAAAGTAAGACATAAGACCCATATCGGTCATTTCAAACCTCTTAATGAGTGCCTCCCTGAATTCTGAGATTAACTTCAAGTTATTTCCAGTAAAAACCAGATCATCAACATACAGACAGATTAGAACAATATCACCAGAATCCGTGCATTTGACATACAAAGTGTGTACATGAGGACATCTCATAAAACCACTTTCAACAAAATATGAATCAATGCAACCATACCACGCCCTAGGCGCTTGCTTTAAGCCATACAAAGCTTTTCTCAACCTGTACACTTTATTTTCCTCCCCTTTCTTCAGAAATCCTGCAGGTTGTTCAACATATATTTCTTCTTCAAGAAAACCATTCAAAAAAGCAGACTTGACATCCATTTGATGCAATTTCCAATCATTTTGAGCAGCAAGAGAAATAACCATTCGAACTGTATCAAGTCTACTTACAGGAGCAAAAACCTCAAAATAATCAATACCTGGTTTTTGCTTGTAACCCTTTGCTACTAACCGTGCCTTAAAACGGTCAATCTCTCCATTTGACTTGTACTTCGTTCTGTAAACCCACTTCACTCCAATTGGCTTCTTTCCAGGAGGTAAATCTGTTAACTCCCAGGTACCATTCTTCTCAATGGCACGTATCTCCTCATCCATCGCCCTAAGCCAATGAGTTTTTGTAGCAGCCTCCTCAAAAGTTAAAGGATCACAATATGCAAAGAGAGCAAATTGAACAATCTCTTCATCAGACAGGTCATTATCATGACCCAAAACATAATCTTGCAAGCGAGCTGGTAAGTGGCGCTCGCGCTGAGATCGTCGAACTGACGACTCTGGCTGTGAAGGGGACTGGACATTATCTGGAATCGGTTGCTCTTCAACAATATTTTCAACAGCAGGAATAACAACTGAACTTTCATCTTTAGCTAACCAATCCCAAGCACCATATTCATCAAAAGTGACATCACGACTTATAACAACCCTTTTAGTTTCAGGATTGTATAGTTTATAAGCCTTTGAAGCGTCACTATAACCAATGAATATGCACTTCTCACCTTTATCATCCAACTTCTTTCTCAATGCATCTGGCACATGTGCATATGCCAAACATCCAAAAACCTTGAGATATTTGATAGAGGGTTTTCTCCCACTCCAAGCTTCTTCGGGTGTCTTATCCCGGACACTCTTAGTTGGACACCTATTCAACACATAGACAGCACAAGCAACAGCTTCTGCCCAAAAAGGTTTAGGCAGATCCTTGGATTTCAACATGCACCTTACCATATCCATGATAGACCTATTCTTCCTCTCAGCCACTCCATTTTGTTGTGGAGTGTATCTAGCTGTCATCTGATGTTGAATACCCTTCTTCTTCAGAAAATCATCACAGGCAATATATTCTGTACCTCTATCAGTTCTCAAGATTTTAATTTCATAACCACTCTGCTTTTCAACAAAAGCCTTAAATTGTTTGAAAACATCACATGCTTCAGACTTTTGCTTCAAAAAGTAAACCCATGTTTTTCTACTGAAATCATCAATGAAAGTAATAAAGTACTTACAACCTCCATGTGAGGGAACCTCCAACGAACATAGGTCTGAGTGAATAATCTCCAACTGTTTTGTAGCTCTCCTTGACTTTCCCACGGGAAAGGGATCTCTATGCTTCTTCCCAATCACACAAATCTCACAGATACGATCAGGGACATTCACAACAGGTAAATCAGAAACAAGTTCCTTTCTCGCAAGATAGTTTAATTCAGAGAAATGAAAATGCCTAAACCGCATATGCCATAACCAATTATCATCACAAACTTCAGAATTAAAGCAATCAATGAGAGTATGCTTAATTTTCAAAGGAAATAGTCGATTTTGGGACATATTTACCTTTGCAATCAAAACTCCTTTAGCATCTTCAATGGTACAACACCCTTGAGAAATATGTATCTTATATCCTTTTTCTGACAACTGACCCAAACTCAACAAATTTTTGTGTAGTTCAGGAACATAGAACACATCGGATATAAAATTGTGAGTACCATCCTTCAACTGAATGGAGATTTTACCTTTTCCCAAAATTGGCACCTTTGACTTATTGCCAAACGTTACTTCAGACCGGACTGATTCATCTAGTTCGGAAAACAATTCTTTCTTCCCACACATATGGTTACTACACCCAGTATCCAAGAACCATATGTTCTTATCTGCAGAAAAACTATCGCTGGCTAAAAGTAAAGTTTCAGAACTCTCACCAGACTTTTCAGCAGTGTTTTCAGCAATGTTTGCTTGATTTCCACGATTGTTGTCCTCATTATACCAACAATCTGCAATCTTGTGCCCATACTTGCCACAATTGTAGCAATGAAATGGAAATTTACCTTGTTTGTTATTACCTCCACCTCTTCCTTGGTTGGAGTTACCACGTCCTCCTCCTTGGTTGAAGTTACCACGACCTCTTCCACCAGAACCTCCTCTTCCTCTTCCACGACCTCTACCAGATCCTCCACCTCTTTGATTAGCGCCAGTCACATTAAGGGTGACTTGACTCTTCAAAGCTTCTTCTGCTAGTGGTTCCGATTTTGACGCAATTCTGTCAATATGACTTTCTACCATACCTTTCAGCTCTGCAATTGATAAGAGCTCGGTTTTGTGTGACTCTGTTATTGAAGCCACCACATGGTCATACTTCATCGGCATAGTTCGAAGAACTTTTTCAACCACTGCACCATCTTCAATTGTATCTCCGTATAACCTCATCTTATTCACCATATCAATAAGACGAGTGAAATACATATCTACTGTTTCTGTAGAGGTCATCTCACAATTATCGTACAACCTTCTCAATGACTGCAACTTAGACTTCTGTGCCCGATCGACTCCTTTGTGTGACACCTTTAAGATGTCCCAAGCTTGTTTTGCTATTTGAGCACGAGCTAATTGCCCAAAAATGGAATAATGAACACCTTGGTGAATCTGACCCAAGGCCAATTTATCTCGCCGTATAGCGGCTGCTTCAGCTCCTTCGGGTAGACCGGGATCAACAAAGCTCCAAAGATTTTGAGCTTGCAAATGTGTGGACATCATAATTTGCCAATAATTGTAATCGAGTTTCCCGTCCATACAATATTGAAATTTGCAGCCATATTTCACTACGGAAAATATCTCGGGGTTGAAAGGTTGACTGGCTTTGATACCAAATGTTAGATATATTAAATATAATATATTTAATATAATATATATTAAATATAATATAATATATCTATAATATATATTAAATATAATATATCTATATATTATATTTATATATATTGAGAAGAGAGAGAGAGAGGAATAGATAATTTTATTGATGATTAGAAATGCTTGAATAACAAATCTATTTATACTAGATAAGATAATTCAAATGCTAAAATAAAGGAGTTAATTCTCCATGTAAAGCTAACATCATGGCCATGTACTGCACCTATAATTACTCCCATTATTTTTAACCAATTAACTAACTACTTGGTTTAATATTACTAATAATAATAATAATAATAATAATAATAATAATAATAATAATAATAATAATAATAATAATAATAATAATAATAATAATTATTATTATTATTATTATTATTATTATTATTATTATTATTATTATTATTATTATTATTATTATTATTATTATTATTATTATAACATTTGCGTTTGGTTGGCTGCAGGGAGAGAGAGAGGGAGGAAGCAGCGTCAATAAGCTCATCAAAATCCCGACGATGATGAATCTTGATGGGTTTCTTGGGATCAATATTTATCTGTGTTTTGCGATTCTTGATTGGCGGGAACAGGGAGAGGAGAGGGAGGAAGCAGCGTCAATGAGCTCTGCGAAATTACCATGATTCTGTTTGACAAATAATAATCTTGAATTGTTGGGGCACAAGGAAAGAGACTTAGAGCAGTGGGAGTGGGGTGGTCTTCATGATCTTCATGATTAAAACACCAAAGAGAGGCGGGCAGCAGGGGCGGAAAGAGGAGGATTCACGGCAGCCTGCGGATGAGCAGATACAGGTTCATCCTCCACCGTTGTACACACGCTCTGCATTCCGCTATTTTCCTTCTCAGACATTATTATATTTTCAGAGTAGGTTTATATATATATATATGGGAATAGCTAGAATAACCTAATTTCAATGTCGGTGGGATTAGGAAACCGTTAATGATAGAAGAACATGTATATTTTCCCGCTCCCATTTGGACTACGAAATTATGGAGTAATTCATAAATGAATATCCTATATATTTCTAATTTCAGTACGTATTTCTCATTTTTTTTACTTTTTTATTTACTGTAAAATGCATTACGTCTAACAATGAGAACGGTATAAAACTGTATCAAATAAAACAGTTATTACAACGGTACAGACTAAGAGAATATATACAAGTGAGAATCATAGGGAGATTATGATAGGGAGTCATAATATGACTCAAATACATAGAGTCCTAATACTAGTCATAATACTCCCCTCAAGCACATGTATACTTGTAACCTGTAGCTCGTCTCTAAAGAAAAGAAAATCTAGGACTAGGTAAAGCTTTAGTAAATATGTCTGCAAGTTAATCTTTTGTAGAGATGAAGTTAACTTGAATGTCTCAAGAAGTAACTTTATCTCGAATGAAGTGATAGTCAATTTTCACGTTCTTGATACAAGCATGGAAGATGGGGTTTTTGCAACCATATAAGTTGCACCAAGATTATCACACCATAATTTTGGAACAGATATACCTGACACTTTAATCTCATGTAGCAAAGAGATTATCCATGTTACTTCAGCACAGACATCTAATAGAGCCTTGTATTCTTCCTCAGTAGAAGATCTAGCAATAGTTCTTTGATTCTTACAGACCCAAGAGACGAGATTAGATCCAAGAAACATAGCAAAACCACTAGTGGACTTGCAGTCCTTAGGGCATCCAGCCCAGTCAGAATTTGAGAATGCATGGAGATATCTTGATATTGGCTTTCTTATACGCAAGCCAAAATTAATTGTTCCCTTAACATACCTCAAGACTCGTTTTAGGAGCTCCCAATGTGATACAGCGGGAGCATACACGTGTTGACATAACTGATTGACTGCAAATGATTGATCTGGGCGTGCGTTATCTCTCGCTTTGGATTGGTCTGGGTGAGCTTCTCACATCACTCACTGGTGCTGGTCCAGAGAATTGTCCAAACTTGGAGGAGATACGGGTTAAAGTGGAAGGCAATTGCAGGGTATTGTCTAAACCTCCAGATAAAGCATTCGGGATGAGAACTCCTTTGCGCTATCCTAAACTTTCGAAGATGCATTTGGATTGTGGAGACACTATAGGCTATTCTTATTTCTGTGCCTCACCGGAAACATTGGAGAATGAAAGAGAAGTAAAATGTGACACCCCAAAAATCCACACTCCAAACCATGAATTAATTGAGTAATTAATTCTATTTCTTTTGAGGAATTGATTCCTAAAATCCTGATTTTTAATACTCAAGGACTAGTATTTGACTAGTCAATCTTTAAGTGGTGTTGTACCTTGTGCTTTGAGAGGAGTTCCCTTGTTCCTTACACTTTTTAAGAGTTAGTAAGGGTATCCTTGTCTTTTCACCAAGAGCTAGTTTTGTAACCTAAACCTAGAAGACTTCTTCATTTCATTCCCTTACATTCCCTAGAAAATATCTCTACCTTCTCTCTAGAATAGAAGAGTAGCTTGTTCTTCAAGCCAAAAGAAGCCTTTGTCAAGATTCCAAGTTTTGCTTCCAAGATTCAATCTTTCCTCTATTTTGTTGTGGTACAGGGGCGTACCGCGGCAGAACGGCGGGCGGGGCACACCCGCCGCCTACCCGCGGAACGTGTTGCCTTGTGGGTGTTGTACCCGCGGGCGGACCACGGTGGGGCACTACCCGTGGTCCACCCGCGGGGAACACAATGGTGTTGAGATGGTATTTGTTCCCGTGATTTGTTTGTCTCGGTCTTTGATCTTTTGGCCTCCCGATGTTCTTTTGTGGAACTATTTGAGCGTCTTCTTGATGTTTCGTAGGTCTAGAGCTTTATGATAGGTATCCATGTAGAATCTTTGGTGTTGTGAATCGTGCTAAGTGTTCAACATTGTGTTTCGTTGAACCGTGTG